TACGATGATGACGACGAGGTGTAGACAAGCTACATGCCACTTCTGTCCTTTGCGCTTGCAAACAAGTCTCGTGAGGCCGTCGAGCTTCTCGCATCAGTGGCCGACATCAACTTCATCGACGACGGTCAATCTTCGACCAAGGCGTGCGTCAACAAGGTGCCGCTGGGCCAAGCCATCAAAACCAACCTCGACACAACATTGCTTGCGAAAATGCTGGAACATGCCAGCGTCCAGCCGCCAGAGGTGACCACCATCATTGATGGCAGCTTCTTCAACCGTTCTGACTCATACAACATCTCTGTAGTACTACGAGGAAGCTCTCAAGATGGCACTTGTAGCCAAGAGCGTCTCCAACGTAGTGCTGCTGGCATCCAAGGTCAACCCCAAGTCCGAGGTATGTTCACCTTGTAGTCACTCGGTGTGATCTTATTCACTCACTAGTGCTTTCTTCAATACGCGGTCCACAACCCTGATTTTGTGGCAGTGTTGCTGGAACTGGGCGCGGACCCCAACCAGAGCGACCAGGTACGAGCGCACCCGCTGCGATACCCACGACCCATCAAATGGTTGGTGCATTAGTACGGTCGCCCTCCGCTACTCGGTGCCTGCTCACAGAACGAAGAAATCTCAGCGCGTATCTTGCTGCCGCACACCACCAACGGCGATGTTCACGGCTACGTACGCAATGATTTGCAATGAGATCACTAACTCGCTCTGTAGTACGCGCCACTCTACAACGTTGTTGCAGAAGGCGGTCTGCGCGGTCTGGCTAGAGATTTGGCCCGTACCGTCTTTGCAGAATCACCGATGCCGCCACTGCACAAGATCTTTTGGCAACCGTGCGTCGAGCGATATGCACAACGTGCATGCGATTTCTGGTGCTATGCCCCGGACCACGCGAGAGCCTATGCCAAAATCGAGCTCGAGTACATGGCTGTTCTCTGCACGCTCCTCGACGAGCCGTTCTGGTGGACCAAGGAAACACTGCCAAGTCTTCCGCCTGGTGTCTGCGATACTGACGTCATCCATGGCGAGCTCCAATTCATTCGCGACGAGTTTGTGCGGCCACTCGGTCTCGTGCCCAACACGACCCGCGGTGTGTACCACGCCGACGACGCACTCTCGGTCGACTTGCTTTCGTCGCTCAGTCAACTCTTGACACCGCTCGAAGTCGACGCTTCCTGGAACGACAACGTCTTGGAGGTCGTCGACCCAGCCATGCACGGCGCGGTGTACGGCCAATCGCGCTTCAATCTCCACCCGCACAACATGCGCGTCGGGACATCCACAAGCGCCACCGTTCAACATGAGATGCCTCCGTCGACGACGCTTACCGATGCCGCGTGCCCGCACCTGCAAATGCTGCCGACGCCGGTGACGTGGGATGCGTCGTTGCGTCAAGTGACACTGGAGAGCTATATCAACAACATCCACCCGTCGCAGTCGGCGCTCTATGCGGTGCTGGCCGAGACCCTATCGACTGTGCTGCCGCTGCTAGATGCCGCCCGGTGGGTCCCCCGAAAAGACAACCGACGTATTCGACTCGGTGGCGGCCACGAGAACGAGCTGCGCCTGCTCCGGGACGCGTACCTGAAGCACCACGGCCTCGACCCGTCGACGACTGTACTGCAAAAGACGCTGCGGGCGTTCAAGAAGGCGCAGGGGCCCATCACGAGCCAGTTGCAGCCAGCGCCACCGACGCTCCACGCTGCCAAAGAGTTCTGGAAGAACTACGTACCACGTCGTGACGACGACGATGACGACGGTAGCTGGCGGCTTCCGAGCAAGCCTCAGTCGCACCAAGTGCTCTGCCACGTGCAGTGTCTCCGCGCGACGCCCGAGGCACCGACAATGACGACGGCGTGGCGGCGTGGGTCGGGCGCTACCAACGAGGCCATCAAGTTTACAGCCGTGGCCCTGTACGGTGCAGACAACATCTCGGTGCGGATCGAGTTCCGAGAGACGTTTGAGAAGGCCGACTTTGGACCGCACAAGCGCAACCCTGCGATCGAGGTACAACAACAAAAGATGCTTGCCATGTGGATTGGCGTCGATACAACTGTAGGTACTACTCAGCGACAGCATCGCAGAGCGCGTGAGCCAAGACACGGGGTTTGTGACCTTGCGACCGGGACGCTTG